AGTACAGCCGGTTAATGATTTCTTGGAGTGGAAATAACGACGGAAGAATGCGGCGCAGGCTCTGGAAATTAGAATTTTGGAATTCTGAATCTTGACAGCGTAAAATCCCCACCTACAAGAAATCCCACCAAAATGAGCTTCGGCTTCTGGTGCTCCGCACACGCGGCACGGCTCCATTCTGAACATTTAAAGGCTGAATAGATGGAAAATTCGGGAATTCGGAAATATGAGAATTCAACAAGGCAGATGGACTAACTAAGAAGCAAAATGTTGTATACAATGAATAAAACGGCAGTAAGTCTCAGAAAAAGAAAAAAATGAGCTCTTGGTTCTTTGTCTGAAGCTCAACGGGGTTGCTAGGGAGCAGAGCAAAGCATACATCACAGAAGCATACAACACAAACATCACTGAAACTTGGAAGCAAAAATAGGGGAAATGTCAGTTTGAAAGGACAGGTGTGATATCAAAAAATCACCTTATCAAGTGAAAAAGAAGATCTTTGATATTGAAAAAAAACAGATTTGCTCAGAATGTAAATTGGCTCAAGTGAGAAAAAAAAGTTGATTTTTGAGAGCAAAAATTTCGTAATTTTCACAAATGCCGTTTTTGCAGCTGTCTGGGATATTTGGCAAGTGTGTAAACACTAGATCAGTATAGTGAAACTTGGTAAAAATTATCAAAATCTTAAAGGAGGGCAGACAACAAAAATTTCGGGGAAAATTTCAGGGAATGTGTATTTTGCCGTCGCGGTGTTCGCACCTAAAGCACGCAATCCCACGCGCAAACATTTTTATTTTTTTATTTCCCGACTTTATTTTTTCAATTTTAACGACTTCAAACATTAAAAAAGCTCTTTTTTCTTATTTATTATAAAACCCATATAAAAGTGAATTTTTAATGTAAATTTAAAGTTCTATCGACCGATTATTTTGCCAGTCGCCGGTTTTTTTATAGGCATGCGAAAAAAACTATTTTCTCTTCGATAACCGTTTCTTCACTGTTCCTATTTATCTCATTACTTCTCGTTATTACTCTAGGAATAAAAACTGTTTTATGACTAGGGTTTTCAGAGACGTCTCCATTTTTACTGCTTCCTTCTCCTTCCGACGACCAGCCATGCACGAGGATTGTTTTAATTATGGGGTTTTTCTTTCAATTGTTATGTCTCTTTCTAAAAATTAATTGTAGTTTTTTTCATAATTTATTTGTTAACATAATAAAACAAGTTTCTTCATTTTCAACTGATTTTGGTACTTCGGAGCGAGGCCTCGGCGGCACGCTGGTAGCCCTTCAGAAATTCCGAGTTCAAAAAGTTCAATCCGAAGGAAACAAGGGAAGAAAAAAGTAAAAACACCAGCAGGGATTGAACCTCTGACCTCCTGAATACTAGCCTAGAGCGTACCCACTATACTACGCGTGTAAGAGGCGACCATCGCGTTTTTCACATTATGAAGCGACGTCGCAGCAGCAAGCTAGTGAAGAAATTAGGGTGACAAAAAAGAGCATTTTTTCGTCCTTGAAGTGTTTTTTTCAGGTTTTTAAGTACATAGCTATATTTATACTTCAGAGTTATATCTTTTGAGTAAAAATGAAAATTTTGAAATTTTTGATGTCTACCCTCCTTTAATTATTGAAAAAATATATTTTTAAAATTCTGCCGACATTTAAAAAATAAGTTTAGATGGACAGATAAAAATAAATTTTGATAAAATCCGAAAATCCGACATTTAAAAGAATATGAATTATAGTATTTCAGAACTCTGTGAAAAACTTAAGAGTCGAGAAATGAGAAAAAATTGTTCCGGAGCTTTCCAAAATAAAAACAGTTTTTGCAAAAAATCTCACATGTCCTGAAAAACCAAAAACTAACTATTTACCAGACACCCCAATAAAAAAAACGTTGACAAACACAAAAATTGTCATCCTTTTTGAGTCACATGTACTTTTGGAAATATCCCAAATTTAAAAAATACATGTGTGACAAATCAGGGTCCAAGGCTCGGCTCGGTGTTTCCCAGAAATCATTAAAACAAGAAAAAATAACTTTTGAATTGCTCTTATACAGGAAAAAAAACGGCAAGCAACTAAACATTTTCGGTCTACTTTCCGCAGAAAATCTGAACAAAGAAAGAGCGATGGTGAGAGAGTGAAAGGTTTAGACACCGGAACAAATTGCAGGTGGCTGGCAGAAATAATAGTGTCGGGAAATGAGAGAGTTTAGAGAAAAAAGGTAGAGAAAATGAAATATGAAGTCTTCGCCCCCAAAGGCTTGGGGTTTCCTCTTTTTCAAATAAAGGGACAAGAGAGAAGAGACACAGAGAAGTAGAGAACAAGAAATGACGTGATTCCAGGTAACGAATTGACATTTGAAAACTTTCCGTTGCTTATCTTTTTACGATGTCTTTTTCTATTGGTTTCAAATGTTATATTCTAGTGTTAGTCATAGACGAAACGTTTTCCCGATTTTCGGATATATCATAAACCTGTAATAGATGCCTGTAATAGACCCACACTGTCAAGCTTGAGCTCAATTATCACGGTTCCTTCAAAAGATATCAAAACATTTTCAACTGATAAACTGCTTATCATAATATAGTCAACATTTTATCAGTTGACAGATTTATGATATCTTTGATAGGAAGACAATTGAGATGAAATTAAAAAGTGAAGGGCCCTTCTATCACAGGTCTTACGGTATTACACCCACTCAAAAAAAAAACGTCAAAAACCCAATCCTTTTTTTTCGGTTTTGATCGGATTTTGGTGCGAAACAAAATGATGATCTTTTTTGACAAAAAAGGGTTTCCTTGTCATTTTAACGACCGTGTAAACTTATTTGGTATTGTGAGTCAGCACAGACAATAAACGATTGGAAAAAAAATTGGAAAGATCACAAGGGCTATGATCAAAAACTTGTTTGAATTTGAACATTCGGAAAGATTCATTCAGAAACATTTGTACAACGATAAATACACAGATAAATAAAATTTACAAAAGAAATAAAATCACAAAATTTAAATCCTCTGTTTCTTCATAATTTTGACAAAATCCTCATGCACCTTGACTCGATTTAGTTGAAAAAGTACAACTTCTTCTTGAAATTTTGTTCTCCTCTCTCCACAATCATTGGGATTTCCAGTAAATTCAAAAATCGATTTTCAGCCATTTCCACATCTCCGCTGAACTTCTCTATCAAGTAATTCCTCAATTCTCGGTGGATCACTTTTCGAATACTCCAGCAAAGATTTGTACTTTTCCAACTGATATCGTTGTAGGCTGAAATTTCCTTGGTTTAGGAATTAATGAGGATCAGTTACCATGATCAAAAAATATAATCCATATAATTGCCATTAATTCCATTTGGTCCAATGATAGTCTGATTATCGGTTCAATGATGAACCTATAGGAGTGGGTGTAATACCGTTTTTTTGAGTGGGTGTAATACCGTAAGACCTGTGATAGAAGGGCCCTTCACTTTTTAATTTCATCTCAATTGTCTTCCTATCAAAGATATCATAAATCTGTCAACTGATAAAATGTTGACTATATTATGATAAGCAGTTTATCAGTTGAAAATGTTTTGATATCTTTTGAAGGAACCGTGATAATTGAGCTCAAGCTTGACAGTGTGGGTCTATTACAGGCATCTATTACAGGTTTATGATATATCCGAAAATCGGGAAAACGTTTCGTCTATGACTAACACTAGAATATAACATTTGAAACCAATAGAAAAAGACATCGTAAAAAGATAAGCAACGGAAAGTTTTCAAATGTCAATTCGTTACCTGGAATCACGTCATTTCTTGTTCTCTACTTCTCTGTGTCTCTTCTCTCTTGTCCCTTTATTTGAAAAAGAGGAAACCCCAAGCCTTTGGGGGCGAAGACTTCATATTTCATTTTCTCTACCTTTTTTCTCTAAACTCTCTCATTTCCCGACACTATTATTTCTGCCAGCCACCTGCAATTTGTTCCGGTGTCTAAACCTTTCACTCTCTC